CTCTCTCTCCCCTCCCGACTTCTTCCGCCGCTTCCCGCCATCCCACATTCGGCCTTTCTCCCGCCTTCTGCCATCCGCCATCGCTACTTCTCTCTCCCTCTTCCCACCATCTCTCTCTCTCTCTCCCTCTCTCTCTCTCTCTCACACACACACACACGCACACACAAACAACACACACACACACACACACACACACACACACACACACACACACACACAAACAAAAAAACGAACTTCCCCCCTTTTTTTTTTGGAGGCCCCGCGCGGCCTCAATTTTTTATTTTTATTTTTGTGGTTTATGACGCGACATCCCACTCGGGTCTAAAACACCCCTCCCCAACTTTTGTTTTTTTCCTCGACCCCTTATTTTCGGGGTGCGCCGCACCCCGTGCGCGCGCGTCGTGCGTTGTGCACAGTGCGGCGCATGTGCGCGGTGCAGCGCATGTCGATGCGCCGCAAGTATGATCAGTTCCTTAGGTGTTGCACTCTTCTGTATCTCCAAAAAAAACAAAAAAAAATAAAAAAAGAAGGGAAACTTCCGCTGGTATGGCGCACGAGCAGGTGCTGCGCCGCACGCCGTGCAGCGCACCGCATGGTACAGCACACGGTGCAGTTGCAAGTATGCTTCACCTGCAACGGCTGGTGATCCTTTCGATCAGGCAGAGCTCTCAGGCGGACTTTTCTTCATAGGCACCACCCAGAACCAGTGGGAACACAATCCTTCTTGGCTCAGGCCGTGGCTGCTTTCCCAGGTTTCATCACTTTTGACTTCAATGGTAACAGATACTTTTTTGGGCCTGCGCTTTCACCCCCATGGTTTGATCCAGAGGCGCAGGCCCACAGGACCCCTCCTGAATACTTTTTTGAGCCCCAGAAGGGGCCAATCCCTTTTTGCAGCACTAGGACGTTTCATTCCAGAACCATCGCACATCCTATAATTATAGGTCTCTAGACAGCTGTGTAATATGTTAGGTGGTAAGCTACTAGCATTGTACTTTAGTTGGTTCTCTGGTTCTGAGTTTTTTCCCATCAGGGACCGTTCCCCCTGGCGGTCCCTTTCTCTACTCGTGTCGTTCTGTCTGACAGATCGGTTCCTTGTTTTTGTGTCGTTCTGAGCTGCATTATGCAAGCTGGTACTATCTCATTGTAGCACATTATGTCCTCCACGAGAGTAAAGCCTCGCATCTTGTGCTATCTTATCTGAATGACCTTTCTCCTTTCATGCTTTTTTCCCTTCCAAGTTCTTTCAGTTATCAGTTTCAAACGGGAACCACTGATTTACAAATCTTATTAACAACAGAATTTAGCGAACGACGCCAAATATTGCTATGGATTCCTTTTTTTGCATCTTTTGCAGTGAAAGTACCTATGGTACCAGTTCATATTTGGTTACCTGAAGCTCATGTAGAAGCACCCACCGCTGGATCTGTTATCTTAGCGGGAATTCTCTTAAAATTGGGAACTTATGGTTTAACAAAAACGAAACAAAAAAAGACAAGCAAATAATGGCACAAAAAGTCAATCCAATCTCAGTCAGACTCAATGTGAATCGTAGTCCAGATTCTTATTGGTTTAGTGAGGGCGACCGTGCAAGTCACCGAATGAATTGCCCACTTCCGAAGCGACGAGACCAAACAAAATCAATGTTGCAAACGCCTCTCCAGGCACGCAGCAAGACATGCTGGATACCAAGTGCTATTGTTTACCATTGATCTTCAGGGTCAGTAGCGGAACATTCTGATTTAGCTCAATACGATGCGGACCCTGTTTTTGCCGATGTGGTTATTAAAGAATGTTTTAACATAAGTATAGTTTATTTGTGTTCTATAGCAATCACACTAAGAGTATAAATGAAAGGAGTGAAATAAAGAGTAGCTTCTGGAAACATTGGTATTGAAAATCTTAAAAAACCATAAGTTCCCAATTTTAAGAGAATTCCCGCTAAGATAACAGATCCAGCGGTGGGTGCTTCAGGTAACCAAATATGAACTGGTACCATAGGTACTTTAAGAACAAGGTAGGACAGCTGGGTTCATAGCATTTTACAGTTTACTGGGCAGGACCTGTGTACTTAAACTAGTCTCCCGCTGCCCGCTAGTGACCTTAACCACCAGTTACATGGCCCCAGGCAACTGGGGAACCTGTTTTGAGCCCCTCCAAAACTTTAGGAGGCCGAGCGCGGTAGATAAAATGATCGGCTGCGGGCGGCCTCTGAAAGGGGCCCGCGGCCAGTAGCGGGCATGTACTGGTCCTTTAAGAGGTTATGCAGCTTATGCTTCTCGGTTCCTCTGTTCCTCGTATTTTCCATGCTTGCCGGTGATAAGTAATCGAACTGCTTCCCCCCAGAATACAAACGGGCTGTGTCTTCTTGTGTAAAACAACAGGAAAAAAAAAGAAAAAAAATGCAGACCCAAGTCTGAATCCAGATAATGTCAGATAAACAGAACAAAATCATTCTGAATTACCTTTGGCTGGTCAGTTCCAAACCTGTTGAATGGCATTCGAACTAAGGAGAAGTATAACTATGTTCTGGGTAATAAATGAGCATAAACTAAGAGATCRTTGATTGTTCTCTTATTGCATTTTTAGTTATAGAGGCAGATAAAAAAATATATATTCTTAATTAAACATATGTCTACATATACATACACAAAATACAAAATAAAGAATATAAAAAATGGATATTTGACTTGAACTATGAATGGTAGCGTTGTTCTCTGAGAGTTTCCTAGATGTATCTATCCGCAGATATGACGAGATCCATTCATACAAAGTCTTAATATGCGTATGGCCTCAGTCTGGGCCGTCATTTTGCTTTACTGACCTGGTTAAAAGTTCACCGGGCACCTGACAGGGTGGGCTTTGGACCTTGATAAGCTGCACTTGTATGATTCTAAACTTCTCAATGAATCTGGAGCAAAGTGGTCCGGATACATTCAACTCGTTTCATTGGTCTGAATGTATTCCTTTACAGTACTGCCCGTTCATATACACATAGAATGTTGAGTAGTGGAGCGAGGCCCTTTCATCGGACTTTTCCATGGTCTTGTGTGCTGGAATCAATTACTTAGTGGCATGCCAGTGAAGCCCCTTTGATTGGACTTTTCCTTCGTCCTCATTACTGCGCATGCCCTTGATTCATTGGTTCTCATGCGCCGAAATCAATTAGTTGGCTGCATGCGTCCAGGCCACTCTGCCGGTTTGTCCGGGCAGGTCGCTGACAGACAGGCCCAGGGATCTGTTCGGGTCCTTTTTTGCGAAGCATACACCGTTCACGTGCGTGTGTACGTGTGGCAGACTACTGCACTGCACACACTGCACATTCACATCGATCGGGGTGCATGCATGCCGCACAGTGGCATATCAAAAAAGAAAAAAAAAAAAAGAACCCACAAATTGCCACAATAATACTGACAATATGTTATTATTATTTTGTGAGACCCGCGCACGTTATTTCGAGGGTTCCTTAGAATTAAATGCCTTTCCTGAAGTTTCCTCTGTATATGGGACGCTGGACCTGTTTTCCAGCAGGTGATGCTCCCCACCAATAGATGGAGCCTCTTCCCAGGTATTAGTGGTGTCTGCTCTTATCAGCACCACTAATACTTGTGGGGGCGTATAAAAAAATAATAATAATAAAAAAGAAATTGAAATTCATAAATTATTGAATGCCTTTCCTGAGTTTTCTCCTAGTCTTTGAATTTAATAATTGGAGAAAAAGACTGGAAATTTGTGAAAATTGAAAAAAGTTCAAAAAACGAAAAAAAACGAGTTTAAAATTTAAATGACTAAAAACTGAAGGAAAGACCTTTCTTTGTTTCGTGGATGTTTTGCTGGCTTGTGATGGGGTGTGAACCGACAGTCTGTAGAGTTTTCCATCTGGTGTGGGTGAGTGATAGTCTACTTTGATTTTGGTTAAGGTAGATTAT